TTCTAATTTTTGTTTGTCCCGCAAGCTTTTTCTCTCTCCTTCTATTTTCAATGATAGCCGAGCTGGATATAGTATTCTTGGCTGCATATTTTTTTTCATTTAGTGCTCTGAATATGTCATGCCAGCCCTTCCTGGCCCACCAGGTCTCTGTGGATAGGTCTGCTGCCAGTCTAATACTTCTACTATTGTATGTTACAGACTTCTTGTCCTGAGCTGCTTTCAGGATTTTCTCTTTGTCATTAAGACTAGTAAGTTTTACTATTAGATGACGGGGTGTAGACCTATTTTTACTGATTTTGAGAGGGGATTCTGTGTGCCTCCTGGATTTTGATGCTTGTTCCCTTTGCCAAATTAGGGAAATTCTGTACTATAATTTGCTCCAATATACCTTCTGCCCCTCTCTCTCTTTCTTCTTCTTCTTCTTCTGGGATCCCAATTATTCTAATATTGTTTCATCTTATGGTATCACTTGTCTCTCAAATTCTCCCATCGTGGTCCAGGAGTTGTTTTGTCTCTCCTTTGCTCAGCTTCATTATTCTCTGCCATTTGGTCTTCTATATCACTAATTCTCTCTCCTGCCTCATTTATCCTAGCAGTAAGAGCCTCCATTTTTTATTGTACCTCATTAATACCTTTTTTTATTTCAGCTTGGTTAGATTTTAGTTCTTTTATTTCTCTGGAAAGGGATTTTATTTCTCCAGACAGGGTTTCTCTGATATCTTCCATGCCTTTTTTGAGCCCAGCTAGCACCTTGAGAATTGTCATTCTGAACTCTAGATCTGACATATTACCAACGTCTGTATTGATTAGGTCCCTAGTCTTTGGTACTGCCTCTTGTTTGTTTGTTTGTTTTTGGTGGTGAGTTTTAATGCTTTGCCATTTTATCCAGATAAGAATAGATGAATGAGAGAACAAAATACTAAAAGGGTAGCTGTGACCCCAGAAAACAAAATACTAAAAGGGTAGCAGTGACCCCAGAAAAATATACACTAACCAAATCAGAAGAGACCTGAAACCAGGGGGAGAAGAAAGGGGGAAACAAAAACAAACAAAATATACCCGCACACATACATGTATATATTTTAGACTGGTGAATAGAACAGAGCCACACACTCGATTTGGGGTGCATTTTGGTCTGTTAGAAGAAACAACATCCCAAATTTTTAAAGAAAGAAAAACTTATATATATACAAAAGTACGGGTAAACATGAAGGGATGGAATATGACTGTAAAGATCAAAATTTTAAAGGATTCTAAAAAAGAATTGATAAGTTGATTGAAAAAAGAAAAAAAGGAAACAGTGTGATCAGGCTGGAGACTAGAACAAAGCCATGTGCTACATTTAGGGTATATTTTAATCTGTTAGAAGAAATTGTTTCCCAAATTTTTAAAGAAAAAAAAACTATATGTATACAAAAAATAAGGTTAAATACAATGAAGGGATAAAACAGGACTATAACAATAAAAATTTTAAAAGATTTTTTAAAGGTATTGATAAAATAGTTTTAAAATATTAAAATGGGAAATAGAAAAAATTTAAAAACATAGAATAAGAAAAAATAAAATTTTAAAAATTTAACTTTGGAAGGCGAAAGGATCATGGGGAAAAAGCTATGAATTCTATGCGTTGCTTTCCCCTAGCTCTGGAGTTCCACAGTTCTCCTTGATCAGTGAGCTTGGTCTCAGCTGGATGTTCTTGCTGATCTTCTGGGGGAGGGGCATGTTGTAGTGATTCTGAACTGTCTTTGCCTGAGGAGGAATTGCACCGCCCCTGCCAGGGGCCGGGCTAAGTAATCTGCTCGGGTTCTCGGGTTCATGCCGGGGAGCTTTTGTTCTCTGAAGGCTTTCTGTAGAGCTCTGGAGGACAGGAATGAAGATGGCGGCCTCCCAGTCTCTGGCCCGGAGGAGCTGAGAGCTGGGGGCCCCACTCCTCAGTGCGCCCTCGGAGAAAAGCGGTCAATCACTCCCATCTCTCTGGTCTCCGGCCACGCTCCGAACTCCCCTGGCCTGTGACTGAGTGTTTCTCACTCTGGTGCACGGCCCCGTTTGGAGTCTCCAAACCCAGCCCATTTCTGCCACGCTGCTCTTCCAGCAGAGGAAGGTGGGTCTCCCCAGATCTGCCACTTGTGGGGTTCCTGCTCGAACACTGACCCAACTGCGCTTCAGATCATGGTTAAGTAACCCCGAGCTGAGAGCCCCCTCCTTGTCTCCGCCTCTGCAGCTGGCTTCCCCATTCCAATAACTTGCAGCTCCGCTACAGACACCCCTGGTCTTTCTGTGACCCCACGGGACCTGAGACCACTGTCCCCACGAGGGCTCCACCCTCCACACCTTAGCCCCTAGAGTGACATCCCTCAGTGGAGCAGACTTCTAAAATTTTCAGTTTTATGCTCCGCTGCTCAACCACTTGCCGGGAGCCGGCCCCTGCCCCTGCCCCTGCGGTCTGTCTTCCCATATGTCACCTTGAATTCATTTCTCTCCCTGTCCTACCTTCCAGAAGGTGGTTGCTTAGAATTGTTGCTATTCTTTGCTTCGATCTCCTATTGAGTTCGTAGGTGTTCAAGATGGTCTGATAGCTATTTAGCAGAATTCCTGGGACCCAACGAAATTTAGGTCTCCTACTCCTCTGTCATCTTGGATTCTCGATCTAGTGTTGTTTTTTTTTTTTTAAAGATTTTATTTATTTATTTGACACAGAGAGATCACAAGTAGGCAGAGAGAGAGGGGGAAGCAGGCTCCTCGCTGAGCAGAGAGCCCGATGCGGGGCTCGATCCCAGGACCCCAAGATCACGACCTGAGCCGAAGGCAGAGGCCAACCCACTGAGCCACCCAGGTGCCCCTAGTGTTCTTTTTAATATAGTGATTCTATTCTGTATTTTTAAATGAATTCATTTCAGTAAAAATAGAAGTGGGAGTTGTTTTTTAAGATTACATAACAGGAGTTCCCAGATTTGGTCACAATGGTGAGGGTAATCCTGGAATGTTTGAGACACTCTTGTCCAGGACGACATGTCTCATGACCTGACTCATGAACAGAGGATCCATTCAGTGGCCAGACGAGTATGGAAAACCCACAATGAACATGAACAGGCCAAAGACTCCATTCAGTCCTATGATAAAAGTTTTAAAGCAAAGTTTCATTTAACAGCACCTTTCTTCTGTAGATCTTGCAAGAAAGGAATCCGTAACCCAGGCACCTCTAAAATTTCCATTCAGCCCATTGATTCTGCCATCAGGGACATGTTAGAGCAACTTCCTTCCCACTTGGGGAACCTGAAGGTCAACACACTGAGGGTAATCAGAGTTGAGACTGCATAGAAATTTGGCCTCCGGCTCCCGGTTTTAACTTTAAAAGCATCACTTTTTTCAGTGGTCAGTTTTCTGCTCTGATAAGGCCGCATAACATTCAGGGGCTGACGGTATTTATTTCTCACTCGCGCGTTTGGGGAACCCGCTGCGGCTCCCCTGGGACCGCATCCAGGTCCTGGTCTGTTCGGTGTATCCTCTCACCCTGGGACCCTCACTCACTGCGGCCATCAGGGAGGGACACATTCTTCTCCTGACAGATGGGAGAAGTGAAGGGAGCCAAGCCACACCACCCACCCACACTTCCGTGGCCGGTCTCTAGCCGTGCAGCATCGGTCAAAGCAAGTCACGTGGCCAACTCAGTATCAGAGCGTGAGGAGTAGACTCCACCTCCTGTAGCAAAAGGCTTGGCAAAGTGGTGATGTAATTCTGCTCCCTCGGAAGACCGGATTCACAGCTCTGACGCGGTCAGGGCTCCCACGGAGGGAGGAAGGGTCCCAGCAGGGCTGAGTCCTACCTAGAGCAGCAGAACAGAGTAGCCCAGAGCTCAAGCAACTGGCACAGCCGAGGTTCGAATCCCAGCTCTGTGCTTGCTAGCCGGGCGACCCAGGTAAGTGGTTTCTCGGTCTGTAAAAACAGGTCAAAATCCCCGTAAGTGTCTGACGCAAGGGGGTAGTACATGTTCCCAGCAGAGCACAAGTGCTCACAGATAAGAGCTGTGTTATTATTGTGACTACTGTCGATACTCCCCCTCTGCTCTTCTTCAGGGCCCTCCGCCAGCCTCAGTTTCTTTATCTCTAAAATGGGCATTCTGTTCATTGCAATTCCGTAAGGACTGCCAGGATGACGGTAAATGGATAACCTCATTCAGTACTTCCCAACAGAGTGCGGAAGCATTTTGCCTCCCGGGAGATCTCTGGCAACATCTGGAGACATTGTTTTATTTTTCACCTGCAGGAGGTATTACAGGCATCTCCCGGGTGGAGACCAGGGACGCCCCCTTCCTATCCCCCAGGATCAGGGCAGCCCCCTCGGCAAAGCCCCATCCTGCCCCACGTGCCAGGAACGCCGTGGATGAGGACTTCTGATGTGGGTACAGTGGGTACAGTGCTCAGCAGCGCACCTCGCAGGCGGTAGAGCCGGGGAGCGACTGCTACTTCTGGCACTGCTGTTTGCCTTTTTGTCGCTACACTTGCTGCCCCGACCACCGGGAGAGCTAAGATCTGAATCCAGATCTGGACTAACACTGCTGCCCACCCACCTGGCAAGAAGGCAGATACGAAGGGGTGGTCATCCTCGGGGCAGTCGTCCTCGGGGAGCAAGGAAAGAACTGGGCAGGGGAACCACCCTGAGGGCCAAGTCTGTCACCAGGCTGCCACTTGGACGCCTCAGTCACGTCGCCTGATGTCCTCCGCTGTGAAGTGGGTTGGGTGCCCTGCACCAGCCGGCCGTGTAGACTCTGGAACCTGCTTCGAGCCTCGGCACCCCCTCTTCTGTGTCACCCTGGGCAGGCCACTGAACCTCTCTGTGCGGTCACCCCTCATGCGGGGATGGTGACCAGGCGCATACTGCTTGAGGACCACCCGATCAGTGCTTGGCCCTCAGGCAGACGGCTGCTCCCAGCAAGCTCCTGGGTTGCGGTACGGGGTCCCTGCGAGCCTCATCTTGTCTTTCTCCCCTTCTTGCGTGCACAGGGAAGGAGAGCTGTTTCGAGAGGATAATGCAGCGATTTGGCAGAAAAGCCGTCTACATTGTCATCGGTGATGGCGTGGAAGAGGAGCAGGGGGCGAAGAAGGTACTCTGTCCGTCTGTCCATCTTTCACGCTGTGCTGCTTCTCCCCTGGAGACAGGCTCGTGGTTCTCCTGGGCTCTCCCAGGATTCCCTACCCCCCACCCAGCGCTGGCTGGGTCCCCTCCTTCCCAGGCTCTTAGCTTCCCCGTCCCTTCCCATTTGCAATTGCAGAAACATCCTGAGCAATTTCCTTCTGCAAATCCCCTCGGTGCCTCTGGCTGCCCCCCCACTAGTAGCCCTGGATTTTTTCTAGGACAACTGCTCAGGAGCCCGGAGACACTCTGTCAGGCAGAGTGGGGGGGCTGGTGCACGTGTGCACGCTTTATTTCATACTTACTGATCATATGTTCCAGGAACCCTTCCCAGTTAATAAAGACAGCATTAAGCTAATGAGAAAGAAAATCCTGCATTTGTGATCTTGGGCCCAGGAGGAGAGGGGCAGGGGTTCCTGTGGCCTCAGCTCTGCTCTTGGAAAAGAAACAGCTGCCAAAGTCCTGGGTCTGGACCTGTCAACAGCATCCCAGAGGGGCTGCCACCCCCCACCCAGAGGCCTGGGAAGTGGATTGTTAATGTCACAGAGCTTAATTGGGAGGACCTGGTTTCCCCCTGCCCTCCCCCAGCAACAAATTCCAGGGAAATGCAGAAATGTTTAGAGTCTCAGTGGACAAAGCCTAAAAAAAGAGGGAAGGCCCCAAGGGTCCTAGGAGAGGGCCTGGGGGCAGAGCTAAAGGCCTTGCCACCTGCAAGGTTCCTCCCCTTCCCAGCTCCCGCAGACTCCGCCTTTAGGCCTCACACTCCAGCAGGACCACAGAGGGAAGAATTCCCTGACCAGCTACCACTCTGGCCTTCCAGTGACACAGGCCTGTCCGGAACTCCCTCTGCAGCTGTCCATGGTCTTTGTTCGGGGCCTTTCTGACTGGGGTCTTCATCACAGACACTGCAGCTCGTGGATAAGCTCTGTTAGCTGAGCATCTCCTGTGTGCCAGCTGCTAGAGCCCGTGCTGGGGAGCCTGCCGGGAGCAGGAAGGTCAGGCTCTCACCCCTCACTCAGCTCCAGCCTGGAGCAAGTGGTAGACACAAGAGGATAACATGTGTAAGGTGGTGACCAGAGCTTCAGAGAAAAAGCAGGGACTAGGGACAGATGGGACTGTGGGGGTGGGGCAGGTGGCCAGTGGACACAGTGGTCAAGGTAGGCCTCGCTGCCAGGTGACATATGAGCAAAGAGAGGAGGAGAGGAAGTGAGCCAAGGAGATATCAGAAGGAAGGCAGTCCCAGAGAGGAACCAAGAGATTCCAAGGGCTGGAGGCTGGAGCTTTGTGCCAGCCTGGTCACGGCCGTGGGCTGCAGGGGTGGGGAGTGCCAGGAGGAGAGGTCCCAGAGGAACCTGAGCACTTTTTCAAACATATTTAACTTTAAAAATGAATTAATTAATTGGGACACCTGAGTGGTTCAGTTGGTTAAGCGGCTGCCTTCAGCCCTGGTCATGATCCCAGCATCCTGGGATCGAGTCTCACATCGAGCTCCTTGCTCAGCAGGGAGCTTGCTTCTCCCTCTGCCTCTGCCTGCCACTCTGCCTGCCTGTGCTCTCTCTCAAGCTGACAAATAAGTAAATCTTTAAAAACAAAACCAAAAAATGAATTGATTTAGCGAGAAAAATATTAAGTAAATAATTGTCATAGAGGTGATACACTAGGACTGTCCAAGGCAGTAGCAGGAATTACACGAATTACCACGAATTACTGGTGTTCCAGAAACACCATGCCAGGTCAAGAGCACCGTCTGTGTGATGAGACTAGCCCCTGCCAGGGGCTCTAGAGCCCCCTCTCCAAGTTGAGCTCTAACTCCGAACTCTGCCCTCAACCTGGGACAGCCATCAGAATAAAGCTTTGCTTCAAGCACAGTTGGCCTGGAGAACCAGCCTAGGCCTGCGGCCCCTGGCTCCCCTGCCCTGCCCTCTGGCCCTTGCCCAGACAGGGACAGGGACCTCAGTGGAGCAGCCACTGAGATGCTCCTGCCTTCTCACAACTGGAAAGAGTTTGTTAGGGCAACATAGGAAATGTTTTGAAATGACCCCCTTACTCCGCTGAAATGAAATACGAATGGTCATGGGCACTATAACCACAATGACCAAGAGGTCAAGATCGAATGGTATTATCAAAGAGAAATAAAGGGAAAGTTATTGACATTCACAGTAATGTGCGCTTCAACATGTAAGTGGGCACAAAATCCCAGGGCTTGGACCCAAGCGTGCCGTGCCCGTGAGCCAGCCAACACGGGGGACCCAGGTGTGCGGTCTTGGCCACTCGGGAGCCACGTGAGGGGCTGCGGCCCTAACCTGATCTCTCCAAACTGCTAAGACACTCGTGGAGAGATTCGGAATAAAAAAAATACAGACTTCCCTTGCTTTACACAGTAGTTGCCCTCCTAGAAACGCAGGTTTTAATAAAAGCATGGAAAGGATACTCTAGATTTCTACATGATGGCTCCAGTGCTAAGAGCCGAGGCTCGGGTTATTACATCAGGTTTGTACATACTTATCTGACTGGACATTCGAAAATCAGGTCCCAGGTCTATGAGATGAGGCAGGACCCCACTGGCACTGCCCCCCAAATCATCAGGAGTCCAAATTCATACCTCTAGAAATTTCCACAGTGACCCCTGGGGGGGCAGGCTTTTTCTCCTTTGAGAACAGCTAGTCTCGACTGGCCTTACTGTACCAACTGGCCACCTCCCTGGCCTCACCCTCCCGCCAGCCCAGCTCCCACAGACAGATGCGACCAGGGGCGCACGTGCAACCCTAAATGCTAGCTCTGCCGTCTGGGCCTGTGTGGCCTTCAGCACATGACGCCCCCTCTCCGAGCAGCCCTTCCTCATCTGTCACAGCTGCCGGGAACAGGCACCCAGGGCTGAGTAGAGGAACCCTGCGGGGTGAGTCCCCAGCAGCCCGAGCCTCCGTCTTGCTTCCCGGGATGGTGGGGCGGGAGGGGCGGGATAACACAGCCTTCGGAAGCGGAGGAGCTTCGGTCTCCGGTAGAACCAGTGGAGAAAGAAAATATGCTAATTTGCACATAAGGTGAGAACTCACCCACATCTCGTTTGCTCAGAGCCCACAGGAGACGCTTGTGACCGAGACAGGTGGAGGGGTGGAGAGGATGGTCTCCAGCAGGGCGGGGGGGGGGGGGGGGCGGTTCTCAGCAGGGCCAGCGCCACCCAGGTTCTGTGGAACGGGGCTGGGGTGGCCAGAGACGCTGGACGGCAGTTTGAACAGCAGAGAGAGCGGGCTCTCCTGTCTCCCATAAGACACATGAGCTCCAGCACCGGGGACCCAGGCTCCCTCCGTCTTATTGCTCTGCCTGTCCCAGGACTGCTCTCTGGCCACGGCCCCCCCCCCCATCTGCACGGCGGCCCTGCAATGGAAAGGGGGAGGCTGCGGCATCCCTAAGGGTACAGGGGATACTGGTGGATGGCACTGCTGCTCAGATCCCAGTGGTCAGTTCTGGGTCACATTATCACACCTTATGACGGTGCTAGCTGGGAGATGTCGCCTTTATTCTCATCCACCGTTAGGAAAAATGGGGCTAGGAAAAATGGGGCTGCTTCTGAGGGGGGGGGCAGCTGGGGGATCTCCATCACAGCTGGCATGTGGCAGGGTGGTCACTGGCACCTAGGGGCACCTGACCTAACCACAGGCCCAGACCCCTCCTCTTGACTAGTGCCGTCATGGTTTTAGTGAATCCTCAAACCCCCTGCAGAGCTGGTATCATCTGCTTCATTTTATAGAGGCTGCGTTTGAGACTCAGGTTCGTTAACCTACCTCAGGTCACACAGCTATACCTGCAAACTAATGTGTGTTTTGCTCCAAATAGCAAGCAGGCAGGAGGTGGACCTAGGAGTTTCAAACACTCTGTCCCCACCCCTGAGCTGGTCAGACAAGAGAGGGAGTCCACCAGAGAAGACCAGGGCGCACCATACACCCCCATACACTGGCCTCCCCTGAAAACCTCCACAACCATCTGAAGCAGCAGCCCCAGCCCATTAGCGAGAAACGCTGTGCACCGGCCGCTCTCCCCACCTGATGGATGGGAGTCATTAGGCCAGGATGCCAGACACCTGAGCTGCGTGAAATACGGCGACAGGACCAGGGGCTGGGACTGTCGGGGCTGACAGTGTTGTTAATATCTCCATTTTAGTGGGTCATTTGTCCCCACCTCTCCGCAAGTGATAAATCCACCTGTGCTCTAGGCCTGGGATAGAGGTTCTCTTCTACCTTTGCTCACTTCTTCCCAGAAAAATGAATTACACTCTTTAAAGGGGGACAGGATTGGCCGGGCAGGAACCAAAATCCATCTTTGCAGAGACAGGAAGGTTTGGCTGGGTGAGGAGAGGGTGAGGGAGCTGGGGGAGCCGGAAGGCATTAAAGAAATGGCATCTGTTGCCCGTGATGGATAGTATGCGGCTTCTTTTGAGTGAAAGAGAAAAAGATGTGTTTGCTGAGAACTATGAGAAGTCTGCCTTCCTTCTCATCCCCCCTCCCTTCCTCTTCATTCCTTCCCTGTGTGTTTCTTGAGCACCTACTATGTGCCAGGAACCATGCTATGCTGCAGTGAACATGACATTCCAAGCTCTGGCTTCAGGGCCTTTGCACTTGCTTTGTCTTCTGCCTCGATTATCTCCCCCCAAGGTTTACACCTCCTTCTTGCCTTCTGCAGCCTGCTTAACTGTCACCCCCTAGAGAGGCCTTCCCAGACCCCAACTATCAGAATAGTCGCCCTCCCCCAGCTGCTTTCTGCCCTGCCTCCCTGCTCTGTTGCCTTCATAGCGCTCACCACAACACAAAACCACCCTGTTCATTTCGTACCTGTGGATTTCCTCTGTGACTCCAGTGGGGACCCTGTGTGTGCGTGCCAGCTGTGCAGGAGGCCCCCACCCCAAGCACACGGCAGGGGACCTTCAGACACAGTCCCTGCCCTCTGGATCATCTCCCCATCTCAAGATCCCTCGTTTAATCGCGGCCACCAAATCCCTTTATTCACAGGTTCTAGGGATCCACTGGACATCTTTAGGGGCTATTATTCTGCCTACCACAGAGCAGAAAGGTGAAGATGAACGATGATATAAAGAGTTGGCAGAGCAGTAAGTGCAGAGCTCCCAGAAGCAGAAAAGAATTTGATGTGCTCCACGAGCCAAAAGGATGCCTGTATAGTTGCTATATGGACATGGCACCTCACAGGGCAGAATTCCAGGCATCCAAATATTCATCAAGCGCCATCTGCTCACTCAGTAAATAATTTAAGGCCAATGACTGTCTTGTGGAGGCTCCGTATCTTTTAGCTGCAGGTAGCAAAAAGCCTATGTAATGGTGAGTTAAACACTTGCTACTCAGTAAGATTCGAAACAGTTGTGCCCTAGGTTGTTGCCGTGGGTCAGAAATTCACCAAGCATCACTTCCTATCATTTCACTCTACCTTTCTAACCATCTCCGGCATTTTCTGATTTATTGTCTCGTGACCTCAAAATGGCTACCACAGCTCCAGGCATCACATGGTAACGTGACCGAATCCAAATAGGAAGGAAAGTAAGGAGGAAGCAGTTCTCTCCTCAGGTGCCTCCCTTTAATCCTAGAGGAAAACCTTTCCCAGAATCCCTTCCCCACCTTCCTCACTGGCTTCGGTGGATCCCAAGTCAAGAGGGATACAGGACTAGGGCTCCTGAGTGGCTCATTCAGTTAAGCGTCTGCCTTCAGCTCAGGTCATGATCTCTGGGTCCTGGGATCGAGCCCCACATCAGGCTCCCTGTTCAGTGGGGAGTCTGCTTCTCCCTCTGCCCCCCACTCATTCCCTCCATCTCTCTCTCCAAATAAACAAAATCTGTAAAAAAAAAAAAAGGTTGGGGGAACAGGACAAGTCCCTGGCAGACAAGGCTGGGGTTGTCACAGCTTGCTTAGACAGTCATAGCTCATCCTCTAGATGTGGGCACAGCACTGCCAAATTCTGAGTTATGGAAGCAAGAAAGAAGAGAGTGGTACCGGGTAGGCAAGAACTTCAGCCAGTGATTAAATTTTCCAGTGATAAAAATGCAGTCAGTTGTCTTCTCGGGAGCCTGACATGACCTCTCTGGGGCTCAGTGTCCTCATCCGTGAGATAAGACAGAGTGCCTCCCTGAGCATCCGGGACCAGGTTACACGAGGTCGTGTGTGTGGCCCAGAACACGCACGCTCACCCAGCGTTAGTGACTGTGGGATGACCGTGACTGTGAGGGCAGTTCGTTCTGGCGAGCGGCAATTTAACTCTGGTTACATCAATTCTCTTCTTTCTCACTCTCGTGCCCACTTGGAAAAGGTGCTCGTGTTTTTGTCTGGGCAGTTCGGTGAGCTAGAAAACAAAGCACTAGCCCAGGGTCTGGCTCCGGAACAGTGGCCCTAAGACACTATTATCTGAGACACTGGGTGGCACAGGCTGACACTGTGGGATCCAAACCCTGCATCGTGACACCGAGGGACTCACTAGCCAGCCTCCCCCCACCCCCAGCCCTGCACACGGGCACACGCACCCCACGCAACAGTATTCCTCGCCCTTGCGACCTCGTGTGCCTCGATGTAATCACAGTAGCCGCCCTGAGCGTGCCAGGCACCAGGAAGAGCCACAGCCGCTGTGGGCGGCAAATAGGACGCCCGGTGCCCGGGCAGGAAGACCAGCCGCCGCCCCGTCCGCCGCGCCTGCCTGTGCAGCCCGGGCTGGGACGGGCTCCGGCCACTGGGAGACGAGCAAATGGCAGGGACAGGCGCCAGCCGCAGGAGCCCCCAGCTGAGACTTTCTTCTCCAGGTGGCAGGATCCAGGACAACGTTTTAAGAAGGAACGGCCGTCTCACTGCCGGATTCCCTCCCGGGTCAGCGCGCCACCTGTGCCCTGAGACCTTCCCAAAGATGGGGAGAGGGTCCACCCGTGTGCCAGGCTGCTCGGGATGAGCCGGGCCGCGCGGGCTGCGAGGGAAAGCACAACCGTGCGGCCCGACCGGGGGGCCACCGGCCAGTGTGTAAGGGGGGGGTGGGAGATGTCCCATGGTCCAGGAAACGCCCACAGGACACACAGCCTGCGGGGATTCGGCATCGGGCTCAGGCTCTGGGCGGGGGCACTGCGGGGGGCGCGGCGCGGGGCCCTAACCCCCCGGCTGGTGTTCTGTGTTGCAGCACAACATGCCCTTCTGGCGGATATCCTGCCACGCGGACCTGGAGGCGCTGCGGCACGCCCTGGAGCTGGAGTATTTATAGCGGAGCCGCCGCCCCGCCACCTGCCGTCGCCGGCGCATCCCACGCACCCACCCACGCCCTCGCCGTCCCCGCCTCCCCCGCCTCCCCGCCAGATGCCGGACGCCGGGCAGGGCCCCTGTGGCCGAGAGGACGTGCCTGGTGACCATCTCAGCGGCTGTCCCCGTAGTCCAAGCGCGGGTGCGGAGACGCCGGGAAGCCCACAGCGGCTCTGGAACATTTAACTTTGGAGAAGAGGACTGGCTCGGAGACCAGTCCTTCCTACAAGACCCACAGAACAAAAAGCGAGGAATTGCTGATTTGGGGGAGGGCCGGTTAATGAGGCGGGGACAGGCCTGGGATTTTTTTGTTGTTTTTTCTTTTTAATTTATGGACTAATCTCATTACTCCGGTATTACGCTCTTGTACCTGTGTTGTCGGTTTTCTTAGTCGTTGGTTTGGTTTGGTTTTCTAACCTGGCATGTGGGCTGGTGCAGTTGGCATTTACGTACTCTCTGCTCCAAGCTGTGCTCTGGGGGACAATCATTCTTTGAACAATTGGTGAGGGAGACGATTCGGGGCTAATGGGAAGACTGTTGCTTATTTTTGTTTTTAAAGACCTAACCCGAGGTCATGTGGACAGTGCACGTGCCTTATGCTGCCATCTTGTTTTCTAGGAAGAGGGGACCCTGGGGAGGAGGCGGTACTTTGTGATGGATAAAAGGCATTAAATAAAACCACGTTTACATTTTGAAGTGGGCTAGGGTGTCCCTACTTTATGACCATGCTCCAGGCTTCCATTAGAGGCACTAACAGAGGTCCAGCCATCCACAGAGAGGAGGTTTGGGTGAAACAGACAGACCCGCCCCTTATTCCTGAAATTAACTACCCAGGTTGTCAAGCACTGTTCTGTTTGAGGACTAAATGTCCCGTGGTGGTTTTGATGGAAGCTAGGATTTCATAGTCTGTAAGGTAAGTGTTTTTGCCAGAATTCTAGAGGACCCAGAACTCCCAGTGTTCAAGGATAGGGTCTTTCTCATTCGGTATACTCAGTCCCCATCACAGTCTGACACAGATACAGCACTGAGGGCTGACGGATGGACAGATGGATGGATGATGGATGGACAGACGGTGGGTCAGACAGACGGATGGCAGATGTATTATGGATGGGGGTGGGAGGATGGATGGATGGAGGAATGGAAGATGGATGGATGGGTGGGGAATAGCTAAGTTTCACTGGCCCCAGGCTGCTTAATCGTCACTGTTTCCCCAGCAGTATCTTGCATCTCTTGAGAACAATTTCGGAAGTAGAGGAACTACACTATTCAGCGCTCATAAGCAAAAGCCCTTGGCCTCCCAGAAGTCTGAGCATAACTTGAGAACTTCCTGACCAGCCCAGACAGAGACCCAAGGAAGTCCTCAGGTCAGCCTCTGGGTCTGCCTATCCAAGGGCTTTAGAAATCAGAGAGCAACCGTTTGGATTTCTTTCCCTTGCAAAGGAAAGAGACACAACAGAAGAGGCGTAAACCAAACAACAGAATTCTTTGGCTTACTTGACTGAAAAGTTTAGGGATGTGTGACCTCAGACACCCCCATCCCAAATGCAGAATTCAAGACATGGCTTTAAATTTTTTAATTCAGTCTCTTTCTCTCCATCTTTGGACGCTTCAGTGCGGTTTCATTTACAGGCATATACTTAGAGTAGAAGATTTCCACTGATACAGCACTAATTCTTAAAAGGACAACTGTTTTTTGGAAAGTCAGGTTATATCTATTATGTGAGTTAACAAAAGTCCTTGTGGTTCAAATATTTTTTAATTGGTTCTTCCTTTGTTACTTGTAACCAAAAGCATCCCAACTTATATAGCACGTAATAGTGTTATTAGTAGTAGTGTTACATCTCACAGGCTCAGATTTCTACTCAGAATATCATTCATTCATATTACCAACACCTAGAGCTGGACATTTGTCACCAGATATTACTCAGGCATCTAAAATGCACTGGCAGGGGCGCCTGGGTGGCTCAGTGGTTAAGCTTCTGCCTTCGGTTCAGGTCACGATCCCAGGGTCCTGAGCTCCAGCCCTTGCATCGGGCTCTCTGCTCAGGGGGAAGCCGGCTTCTCCCTCTCCCACACCCCTTGCTTGTGTTCCCTCCCTCACTGTGTCTCTCTCTGTCAAATAAACAAATCTTTTAATAAATGAATTAATCAATTAAATGCTTGAAGGCTAGCAGTGTCTGGCTGGATCAGTCAGGAAGCATGATGTGACTCTGGGTCTTGGGGTTATGGGTTCAAGCCCCAAGAGATTACTTAAAAAAAAAAAAAGTCTAGAAAAAACTTTAAGATTTTATCCATTCATTTGACAGAGAGAAGGACAGCACAAGCAGGAGGAACAGGAGAGGGAGAAGCAGGCTCCTACTGAGCAGGGAGCCCAAACACCCAGGTGCCCCTAAAAAATTTTTTTTAATAAATTGCCTGAAGGCTACAAAACAAACATTTTACTTTTTTTTTTTTTTTAAGATTTTATTTATTTATTTGACAGACAGAGATCACAAGTAGGCAGAGGAAAGCAGAGAGGGGCGGGGGAAGCAGGCTTCCTGCTGAGCAGAGAGCCCGATGCGAGGCTCGATCCCAGGACCCTGGGATCACGACCTGAGCGGAAGGCAGAGGCTTTAACCCACTGAGCCACCCAGGCACCCCTACTTTTTTTTTTTAAAGATTTTATTTTTTAGAGGGGCACCTGCGTGGCTCAGTCAGTTAAGCATCTGCCTTCGGCTCAGGTCATGATCCCTGGGTCCTAGAATCAACCCCCATATCAGACTCCCTGCTCGGCAGAGAACGTGTTTCTCCCTCTCCCTCTGCCTGCCACTCTGCCTACTTGGGCTCTTTATCTCTCTGTCAAATAAATATATCTTAAAAAAAAAAAAAAAAAGATTTCGGGGGCATCTGGGTGGCTCAGTGGGTTAAGCCTCTGCCTTTGGTTCAGGTCATGATCTCAGCATCCTGGGATCGAGCCCCGCATCAGGCTCTCTGCTCAGCGGGGAGCCTGCTTCCCCCTCTCTCTCTGCCTGCCTCTCTGCCTACTTGTGATCTCTGTCTATCAAATAAATAAATAAATAAATCTTTAAAAAGAAAAAAAGATTGCATTTTTTAGGGACACCTGGATGGCTCAGTTGGCTAAGCATCTGCCTTCAGCTCAGGATCCCAGGGTCCTGGGATCGAGTCCTGCATCACAAGGAGCCTGCTTCTCCCTCTGGCTGCCTCTCCCCCTGCTTGTGCTCCCTCTAACAAATAAAATCTTGAAAAAAAAAAAAAAAAAGAGAGAGATTTTATTTTATAAGTAATCTCTCCATCCAATGTGGGGCTCCAATCCACAGCCCTGAGATCAAGAGTCACCCGCTTTACCAACTGAGCCAGCCAGGGTGTGCCCTACATTTTTTCCAAAAAAAAAACAAAAAAACTACTACTTGGGGCACCTGGCTGGCTCAGTCTGTGAAGCATGAAACTCTCGCTCTCAGGGATGTGAGTTCAAGCCCCACAATGGGTGTAAAATAAAAACTTTTAAAAAATAAAACTGCTTTTTAAACTTATAAAAAGATGGTCACTGAGATACACTGAGATACCACTTTCCACATCACACTGGCAAAAATATGAAAGTTCTGGGACTCCTAGTACCAGCAGAGCTGTGGGGCCCCTTGCAGATTGCTGGCAGAAGCTGAAACTGGCGCAAGTCCCTAAGAGGGGAAGTTGGCAGTGTTTACCCAATTTGTAAATGGTATCCAGCAATTCCACTTCTGAGAACTGATCTATATTCATGTGGGTGTGAAAACTCCATACAGATTTATTTTCTACAACATTGTCTGTAATAGCAAAGAATGAAAACCACCTAAACACCCGTCAGTTGTGTGCAGGTTAAAGGACGGCACAGTCACGGGGTGGAATACTATGCAACCATGAAAAAGAAGAAACTTTGGAAGAAGATACACGAAACTAATGAAAATGGTGACCCACAGGAGCTATGAGACTTGCGGGCATAAGTGGGAGTGTGCCTTCCTTATATACTGAACGCTGAGAGTAGGCTACTGTAAGAAAGTCTTGAAGATCAGATGTCAGTTCTAGAGATTTCTCGGTCACAGCTGGTTGCTGTAGGTAGCTCGTTATCTAGCCAGTTTCCCCCAAGTGGCAACACTAGCCCCTTCCTGTGGGACTCTGGGTGCAAGTGGGAGGCTGAGGAAAGCTGGTCTGTGAATCAGGCAGCCTCCTGGTTGCCCATCCCAGGAGGCCTGGTCTCTGACAAGCCACCATCACCAAAAGCGGGGCAGTGGTGGTCTCCGAGGTCAGAGCCAGGGACGCCTGATAAAGCCCTATCCCGTTTCAGAGCCCCGGTGCTAGCCGTTCATCCTGCCACCAGAGGAAGCCGGGGTCTACCATTCACCAGGTGCTCTACTCAGCCCGTGGCCATGGACGTGAAAACAGACCAAGGCTTTCCCGCCCCGCCATGGAGCGGACTTCCCCGCAGAGGTCAGAGGACACAAGCAGGCAAACTGACCGTAAGCCACAGACTTTCCCACTCCCTGCCTTGTCCTGCAGGAGGCACAGCAGAGCGCCGGTGACCACAAGCCCAACCCCAGCACTCATGCCCCAGCTCCCCATGCACAGGCTTGTGCCACAACCCAACTCCCCTTCCAAGAACCACCTTGAGGGCAGCAGAGCAGCAGCCGGGGGACCCTCACAGGGAGGAGAAGGGGGATCTTGGGAGGCCTAAGCCAGCCAATTTCCAAAAGCCGGCCAGAGGGGAGCCTGGGTGGCTCAGAAGTTTAAGCGTCCAATCTGCATCTCAGCTCAGGTCTTGATCTCAGGTTCGGGAGTTCAAGGCCCTCCCTGGGCTCCACTCCGGGTCCAGAGCCTACCCTAAAAGGGGGAGGGGGAAGCCTAAGAACATCCTTTTGAAGGAGATCCCAGGATCTGTCCAGTGAAACATTCAGGGTCCAAAAAGCAGCCTCTTGTCCAGCGGATAAACACTGAGGGTCTTTTTATTGGTTGAGATTGTGACTTCCCGAGTATACACATGGTGGTGCTGGGTCAACGAGGGG